TAGCTCTAAACCAGAGATTTTTCTTTTTGTTTTTGTCCTTCACTTAAAATTGCAAATAACTTTATCTGTCAGAAAGCAATAGGACTACTTTGTTGTTCATTTCTTCTAAAAATATATCAACAGAGTATTCCTTACTTTATTTGTAGAGTATAGATAATAACACCTGAATCAATCTCAAATATTTACTAAGCTCCTGCTCTACCAGGCTGTATTCTGTGACCTTTGTCCCATGGGAGACATAGATGCATAAACAGGTATCATTGTACAGTGAGTATAAGAGATTACCATAGAAGTCAGAGTAAGGGGCTTCTATTTCTTTTGGGCTAGAGACAAGAGTCAAGGACCAGAGACATTCAAGGAGGGTTCCTTCAGAAGGCAGTGTTTAAACTGGGTATTGAAGGAGGGAAAAAAATTAGCTATTTGGGAAAAGGATTGGAAGCTATGCACTTTTTATTCATGCTGACAAAATAGACTTTGTAGAGACTCAAAGCTGAATCTCTCAGGGGTGACAGGGAGCAAGGAATTTGTTCAGTGAAGCTGGAGCTTTTGGCACATGTAGTAGAGTGGCAGGCATAAGACGGATTCTCTCAATTTGGAATCAGTTTTCTAAAGAGTGGCCTTCAATTGTCTTTGACTCCATCCAGCCCCTATGTAAAGTCCCCTTCTTTAAAAAAACAACAACAATCCTGGAGATGGAACCCAGAGCCTTGTGCATGCTAGGCAAATGCTGTCTCACTGAAGTACAACCATAGCCTTTTTATTTATTTATTTATTTATTTTGAAACAGGGTCTCTCTAAACTGCCAGTCTAGCTTTGAATTTTATGTCTTCCTCTCTCAGCTTCCTGATTGGCTGGATTACAGGCATGTGCCACCCTACCTGGCTAAGTCAGGCCTCTGTAGAGCCAGCCTATACTATTTGTTCTTGCCTGCCAGCAGGACTTTGTGAAGTCAGGGAATTGGATCTGTTTATGACACATTAACTAAATCCCTCAGCACATTAAGGGAACAAGCACCATGCCGTAAGAGGTTTTAGTTGTGCACCAAAAGGCAACCACTAGATTTTTTTCTTTTCTTTTTTCTGTTTTTTGAGATAGGGTCTCACTATGTAGCCCAGGCTGGCTTCAAATGCATGGTGATCCTCCTGCATCAGCCTTCCAAGTCCTGGGGTTACAGGCATGTACCACCACACTTGGCTAAAAGACTTTAGAGGGGCCAGGGAGATGGCTCAATAGAATAAGCTCTTGCCTGGCAAGTGCAAGGGCCTGAGTTCAATCTCCAGTTCCAATAAATAAGTTAATAAATAACTAACTGACTGACTGACTGACTGACTGACTGACTGACTGACTGACTTTAGAGTAGGGAGAGGGCCATACTCAAATTTGTATTTTATAAAAATCATTCTAGCAATGGAAACAATTTGTAAAGAGTGAAATAGAGGGGGAAAAAAAGAAGATTAAAAAGACAAAACCCAAAAAACAACAGATAAAAGTTGCATTGCAGAAGTTCAGTCAGAAGAGATACAGGCAGGAATAGATTCAAGAGATGGTGAATAATTAGGCTAAATGATTGAAAGAAGGCCAGAGATAAACACTGATGCTGTATAGCAGCTGTCCTTGCATATGATCTTGGTCCACAGTATATACTCAGTATGTGTGTATTTTACTTATTTTGAGACAGGATCTTGTTATGTTCTGTGTGTTAGCTGGCTTTCTATTCTGACTGCTCCTGTATTTACTACCTAGGCAGCCCAGGTTCCCTTAGAAGCTGCTAGAGCAAAAAATTATTTTATTTTATTTTATTTGGTGGAACTGGGGCTTGAACTCAGACCCTTGAGCTTGCCAGGCAAGCACCTATTCTACTGAGCTATACCCCCAGCCTCAAGAGCAAGAAATTATACAAATATGAGTCAGACATGTTGGGTCTGGTGAGATTCCATAGAAACAATATATAAAAATTAATCTGGGGCCAGGGAGATGGCTCAGTGGAATAAGTACTTCCCCAGGCAAGTGCAAGGGGCTGAGTTCAATCCCTGGTTCTGCCATAAAAAATAAATAAATAAATAAATAAATAAATAAATAAATAAAATTAATCTGGCTCCTCTTTAACAAACAGTTGCTTTCCCTCTATATGTTAAGGGTAGCCAGTTAGGCCTCTCTAGATGAGAGATTTATTCACGGTGTGGTAACAGCTAGAGCACTGAACTGAGTCCTTGCATACTTTCATTCCCTCCTCAAACTCCTGCCCACACATGGGCACACAGGGTGACCAGTGCAAGTTAGCTCATTGACATAGACCTAGGAGTGTCCTTCCTTAAAAAAATCATGTGACGATATCTGGCTGGTATTTAATAAAGGAGCATTTGTTTATTCACATTTCTGGCTGAGGAGATAGCTTGGTGATCTAAGTGCCTGCTTGCCTGGCAAGAGCAAGGACCCACGTTCAGCCCCCGTACCACATGCTGTACCTGCCCCAGAACCACTATGTGTGCTGTGCAGTGTCCAAAACTGGGTGTGGTGGTGCATGCCTGTAATCCCAGCACTGGGGAGGCTGAGACAGGAGGATCCCTGTGAGTCTAAACTGTGTAGTGAGACCCTATATCCAATATAAAATATATTTTTTAATGTGTTTAGTACAGGGTCTCACTACACAGATCAGACTCGTAGTGATCCCCCTGTTTTCAGCCTCAAGTGCTGGAATTACAGGGGCACGGGCCACCACACCCAGTCTCATTTAACATCTCAGCGCCCCCCCCCCCAGGGGGGGTGGGCTGGCACGGCACACAGGGAATCAAACCCCCAGTCCCTGTACCACTTTAGTCTGCTGAGCTATCTGGCCAGCAATAAATAAATAAATAAATAAATAAATAAATAAATAAATAACTTACTTTAAAATAAAATAAGACATTAGGTCTATTTAAAAAAAAAAACAAACTCCACACACATTTCTAAGTAGTTCCTCCTTTATAGATCCTATCATGGGGCTGGGGAGATGGCTCAGTAGAATAAATGCTTCCCTGGCAAGCACAAGGGCCAGAGTTCAATCCCCGGTTCCGCAAAAAAAAAAAAAAAACAGAATAGATCCTATCATGGCCATTAATCTTGTAGAGGATGTTTTTCTGATACTTTACCATAAATCTATTAAAATAACAGTGCCCAACATGGTGGCAGGTACCTGTAGTCCTAGCTACTTGGGAGACTGAGGCATTGGGATCTGATGAGCCCAGGAGTCTACATATCATAGCAAGACCGTATTTCAAAAACCAACAAAAACAAAACACAACAAACAAAATACATGATCAGCCCTTTCGTACTTGTTTCAGTATGCCAGGTCTTTTTCCTGAGTATTTGATGTGTATTTACTGATACATTTTTTTCAGGCACCATCACAGCAGAGACAGGCAAAAGGAAAAAGGGAAAAGGGCTTTATTATCTTTGAGGACATAGAGTCTGGGAAAGATGAGGGCTTCTCTGTAGTTAAACAAAGGCAGGCTGAGGCTTTTACAACCTTTTGCCAGGACTGGAGGTTGAGGGGGATGTTTAGATAGACCTGGGAAACTGATTGGGGTCTTCCCTGAGGTGGCAGGAAGGGTGAGAGGGAATTGTACCCTGGGCTGAGTTGGAGAAGAAGGGGAGAGGTGGTCATGGGGAAGATGGGCTGTTGTTTTAAGGGCTTCAGCCATATTAGATGACCACCATAATTCAGCATTTCATACCAGCCAGAACCTATCATTTACTAATTTAATCCTCCTTGCAAGCTTCCTGTGAGGAGACTTACTCTTTCTTCTATACAGACAAAGGATTTAGGTTCAGTAGTTCGATGACTTACAACTAGAAATGGATTTGAACAAATGTGCTCTGGCTCCAGAATTTATATACTCAACCATATACTGTTACACAGTTCTGCCTTGCCCAGAATGCAAAGAAGTATGAATGGAAACAAGGACCTAAAATTTTAAGTGTCAGTGGAAAGGGTTTTGTTTTGGTTTTTGAGATAGGGTCTTGCTGTGTAGCCTAGGCTTACTTGGAATTTGCAGTGCTCCTCCTGCCTCAGCCTCCCAAGTACTGGGATTACAAGGGGTGTGCACCATCACACCTTGCTGAAAGTTTCGTAAAGATATTTGAAGGGCCGATAGCTCAGCATATTAAAGTACCTGCTTAGGCAGACACAGGAACTGGGAACCCTGGCGTGCAGTGCCGGCCCCACCTCAGGGGCACCCTGAGATGGCAATTGAAACTGGGTGTGGTGGTGCAGATCTGTAATCCCAACACTTGGGAGGATCACTATGAGTCCATCAGTGTAGTGAGACCCTGTAGACCATGCACTAAATACGTTAAAAAATAAAAGATATTTGAATTGGATCTTAAAAGACAAAAATTAGATTGTCATTAAGGAACAGTGTTTCTGGGTTTAAAAAGAGTAGACTCACAGACAAGTAAGAGTAGTGAGGGCTATACAGACCTTGTGGCATGAGAGTGAGTAGTGTAAACGGGCAAGGGAAAAGCCATGATGGACCATGGTGCTGGCAGGCAAGCTGCCAGTCTTGCAAGATTAGTGAGAGACTTGGAGTATGGGTTTAGGAGTGGATTTCTGGGACTTTTTCTAGAGCATATTGGGAGTCCTATGAGCCTGGAACAGGAACAGATATGTTGAACACCCAGTCTAATGTGTTAATTCCTCGCCAAAGATATCAGAAGAAGAAATCGAAAGGATCATGTCTGGACAGGAGTTTGAGGAAGAAGCCAATCATTGGAGCAACCATGGTGACAGCGACCATAGTTCCCCTGGGAACAGGGCTTCAGAAAGCAACCAGCCCTCACCAGGCTCCACGCTCTCCTCCAGGTGAGCTTTAAGGCCAATCCAATTTCTTCATCTAGGACTGCACAAAGAGCCAACCCGCACAAGGAACCAACCCCTGGCTAAGCTCCAACTAGGCTGCACCAGCGATTGTGCTCTTGTTTCCTCAGCCATCTTTCCCACCCCAATTTATGCTAAGATCTCAAAATGTCAACTGTCTCTTCTGCAGACTGGTAAACTATGATAGTTTCTAAGCATATACTTACAGCCTTCATCAAGTAGAGTGTTTGATATATGGCACTTTCCATTCATCATTCATTCATTCATTCATTCATTCATTCAATTCATTCATTGATGGTGGGGACTGAATATCTCATTTTTATCACTGAAATAGAAAACCACACAGCTGGCCATAGTGGTATGTGCCTGTAATCCCAGCTACTCAGGAGGTTAAGGCAAGAGGATTGCAAGTTCAAGACCAACCATGGCAATTTAATAATACCCTGTTTCAAGATAAAGAGGGCTGGTGATATAGCTTAGTAGTAGAGGATCCATGGGTTCATTCGATGCCAGTACTACAAAACATCACACTGATAATGCTGAGTTAAACTATAATTTTTCTGCCTTGCAAGAATCAATATTTATCAATTTGTAAATTATAAGAAACAAAGATTTTGAAACCAGATAGATTTGTTACTCTATAAAAGTAGGCAAATTTAAATATTCTTAATTCAAGTGTGATATTTTTTAAATTTCTAATTTTTTAGTACATAATAATTATATTTACTATGGAGAGACATGTACATAACATATCTTAATTCTTTTTATGTCTCTTTTCCTGTCCCCTTTTTCCCACCCTCTGTCTCTTGGTCCCCTTTTCATTTTCAAAAGATTTGTTTTCTTGTTTCCTATTGTCTGTTCGTTATTTTGCTGTTTGTTTGCTTGTTTGCTTTTTGAGATGTATAGCTCAGGTTGCCCTTGAGCTCATTATGTAACCAAGATTGGCCTTGAGCTCATGTCTTCCTGCCTCAGCCTCCTGAGTGCTGAGATTATAGGCACTATGCCCAACTATTTTGCATTTTAAATTCTTTATACTTTGGGTTTATCATATAAGAAAAACTGTGACAAAAATGGCATTCTTTTTTTTTTTTTTGGAGACAGGGTCTCACTGTGTAATTACAGGATGGCCTTGAACTCACTTTGTAGCCCAGGCTGATCTTGAACTCACAGTGATCCTCTTGTCGCAACCTCCCAAGTCCTGGAATGTGCTAAACATGGCATTTTAAAATAGCTGTTATGAGTCTGGGTGTGGTGGCACGCATCTGTAATCCCAGCACTGGGTAGGCTGAAAACAGGAGGATCACTATGAGTCTGAGCTGTGTAGTGAGACCCTGTATCAAATACATATAAGTAAATAAATAAATAAATTAGCTTTCAGGTATAAAATAGAACCCTTAGCTACCAGGGAAGGGCTCTGTGTAAAAGTCATATAGTACAATACTTCAGAATTTTTAGTCCTAGTGGATCTGAACTATTCAGCTCTACCCTTGGTAGAGAACAAAAACAATCACAAACAACATGCGTGTAAACCAATGAGCTTAGCTATACATCAGTAAAACTTCATTTGCCAAAATGTGCTATAACAGTGGTGGCAAACATAACACATGTGTCACAGGCTGTTTATATCATCGAAAACCTTAAAAGGTTTGCCATTACTGGGCTGTATGCTCAACTTGACCTATAGGCTGTAGTTTGCAAAACTTAGTTACAGGAATATATCAGAGTAAAAATACTGGGCTTGGAAAGATAGCTCAGTGGCACAAGTGTCTGGCTGGCAAGTGCAAGGTCCTGAGTTCAATTCTCTGTACCAAAATAAAACTACATAATTTTTGAAATTGTTAGGACTATATATCACATTCCTTCCTGGATTTGTTATGTGACCAGGTAATATATTTAGCTTGTCTGTGTCTTTGGTTTTCCTACACTTGATTTTCCTACTACTATCCTTATCATTGTTTATGAGTGTATATCAGAAACTCTTTAGATATGATATCCATGCAAATAATTCACCCAACCACTTCTGCCAGGCACTGAGTGTCCCGTGGCAAGCCCCACATTCATGCCACCCACACAGAGTCCTTGTCTCACAAATGGGAGTCTAGTAGAAAGATGAGCATGGAACTACTGAATATGTTCCCTGGCTTGATGAGACACTGACTTTATGGCCAAAGAGCACCTAGTGGCTCATTTCCTGAGTAGGCACTAGATGTGCCACAGCTTTGCTTAACATAAGATTTTTCTCTCCAGTAGGTCTGTGGAACTAAATGGATTCATGACATTCAGGGAGCAGTACATGGGGATGTCTGTTCCTCCACATTATCAATACATACCGCACCTTTTTAGCTATTCTGGCCATTCACCACTTCTGCCCCCACAAGCTCGTAGCCTGGACCCACAGTCATACAGTCTGATTCACCAGCTGATGTCAGCCGAAGACCTGGAGCCACTGGGCACACCTATGTTGATTGAAGATGGGTGAGTGGCCTCTGCCCTGCTTGCCCCCCTTGCAGCCTCAAAATGTCCCTACTCTGTATGCACCTGCATCCCCAGCTAGTCTACCCCAGGCTTTAGAATACATCAGGAAATAATGGATGATGATGCAGCATCAGGTCACAAATGTGTAAAGTCAGCAGTAGTCCTTCATTTTTTCCCCTAATCTTTCCTCATAGAATTGTGATTATTTTTCATTCCCTGTGGAATTGGGATTGAAGCACCTTTGCTTCTGCATGGGTCTAAGTAACTCAGGACCTGGGATGGGTCTGACAGCTTCTGTGCCAGAGATGAATTATAATCCTGTAGATAATCGTACACCAACCTATGTTCCTTAAGGCTTTCAAGGCGTAACTGATGCATCCATCTGCATCTCTAGCCAGCATACTCATAAGGTAGCCTATGGCATGTCACTCTTGGGTACAGACCCGAGTGAGAAGAAGAAGTACTGTGAGTCTACAGTTTCCTCTGCCTAAGTAGGTTATATTCATCTGTCAGGCCCACCAATTGCTGCACTCCTGAGCACAGGTAGACTGTTTGAATGTTATTAATCTGAGACCTCCCAGAAGGTGTCCTGAGATTTCCTGAGCTAATACTTAGTTTCAGGAGAGGAGACTCAGATATCCACCCACAAGAAGACACACAGGGCCTTTATATATCTGATTATGAAGATGCCAAGGAATGTTGAAAAGAAGCTGGTGCACTGTCTGTGGCCCCAGAGACCCTCAGGTTAGAGTTGAGAAATGTGTTTTTGTCTGGCTGTAAGCTTAAGAGAAGGCTGAACAACTCTTATTCCTAAACTCACCGCCAGAGGGTGTAGTGAGAACGGGAAAAGCTGCTGAACTCATTCTGTTATTTTTTTCAACTGTCCGGCCCCACTGTTTTTTTTTGTTTTTTTTTGTGCTGGTCTCTGTATTGTGTTGGCACCAGATTCGCCCCACTGAAGTTCTCATGGCCAAAATTAGGGTAGGAGTGACTTAGAATTTCCTCGAAGACATGGAACATTACAGGACACCAACATTAAGTCACTTTTCCTGATAATTGCACAAATTTTGAAGTCTCCTTTTCTTTCAGCTTCCTTTACCCACCAAACCCATTTCTACCTTTCTGAGCTTGCTCCTGGCCTCAGTCATGCCCTCTTATTAGAAAACTGAGTTAAAGACATGTATATTTCCACATTTATGAAACTCCAGCACTCTGAGACGCTGATGTAGGAGGATCTCAAGTTCAAACCCACATTGGGCAACTTAGCAAGACTCTGCCTTAAAATAAACAATAAATAAAAAGGGCAGACATTAGGGCTGTAGTTCATTGGTAAAGTGCTTGCCTAGCGTGTTAAGGCCCCGATTCCCAGAAACACACACACACACACACACACACACACACACACACACACACACACACACCAAAAAAAAAGAAATGGGCTGTGGATATAACTCAGTACAGTATTAAATTCAGTCCCTAGTACCATGAAATATAAATAAATAAAATTGAGTCAAACGAAACTAGAGATCCATAATCAAGGGGGAAGGATTTCACTTTGTGCTCTGAGGGGTAGCTTAATATATGTGTCCTCATCCTCCAGCTGATAGAAATGACTTTCTTGTCCCTAGATACACTGTGACACAGGCAGAGCTGTTTGCCCTGCTTTGCCGGCTGGCTGACGAACTACTCTTTAGGCAGATTGCCTGGATCAAGAAGCTGCCTTTCTTCTGTGAGCTCTCAATCAAGGATTACACGTGCCTCTTGAGCTCTACATGGCAGGAGTTGATCTTGCTGTCATCCCTCACAGTTTATAGTAAGCAGATCTTTGGGGAGCTGGCTGATGTCACCGCCAAGTACTCACCCTCGGATGAAGAGCTGCACAGGTAAGGCTGCTGGCTGGGGAGGAGCCATACCACTCATCCTCAGGCCTGCCCTACCAAGGATGGGTACTAAACTGTGCCCACCTGAATTTGGATGCTCACTGTGCCACTGAATAGTTCTGTGATGTTGCCCAGGTCTCTAATCTCTAGGTCTTGAATTTAAAGATGATGTAAGGACAATTCCCTCCCCAAGCTGGGGATGTGACTCAGTGGTAGAGCTCTTACCTCGCATGCACAGGCCCTGGGTTTGATCCCCAGCACCAAGAAAACCCCAAACAAGCAAACAAAAACCTTCCTCAAGATGTGGTTATGAGGAGCAAATATTATAGAGTCAGACTTAGGAGAGTATTAAGCTGTTTTTATGTCATATAGATTAGTGAGATAGGACAGTGCATCTAAAAGAAACAAAAATCTGAACTCTGCCTATAAGAAAAAGGCTCTAAACTATAATTTATAATCCTAGAAACTTAGGAGTCCTTGTGGTACTATTATATGTCAGAGACTAGCCTAGATATTTTATATTTTATTTCCTTCTCACAGTGTCTAGTTTTATAGGTCTTTGTGCCATTTTTATGGGTAAGAAAACTGGAATTCAGAGAGCCCAGTTCCATTGGATTTACATCCAGAGCCTGTGTTAGAGCTTGTACTCGTCTGACTGCAAAACATAGACTCTTTTGTGCATCTGACATGTGGTGGGATATTAAGAGCATGTAACTGAGGCTGAGAGGTCCTCTTGTCCATTTTCTGTCATGAAGTTTCATCTCTGTGACCACATCCTTCTTACCCTAGAGGTGAGAATGCACTGAGTTCCTGCCTCCCAATAACACCATGGCTTCTTCCTGTACTTTTTTACTCACTTGCTTTGGAGACTTGGGCATGTGGTGACTGTTTTCTGACCCCAAAAATGAAGACAGATTTGTTGAGACAACTTTTCTGGCTTACTGAATTATTCATATAAAATGTCTTACATAGCTTAACTCACATTTTAATAAACATTTTCAATAAACCACCTTTATTGGACATTTTTAAGCTAGTGGAAGTCATGCGGTTTTAAGGTACCCAGAAGAAAAGAAGAAAGGATGCACATGGATGAAAGCTGGGGTATCAGCCCCCACACTTCTCTCCCCTCCCAGTGTAGGATGGGGCACATTCCCTTCCCCTAGTCATGGCATAGAAACAAGGCCAAGGCTCAAGCTGGAAGCAAAGCTCTGAGATCTTCCAGGGTCTTTTGCACAGCTGAGGGAAGGAGGAGTCTAGGTGCTGACCCTCTCCCTGCTTTTCTAATATATCCTTATTAATGATGCTTACTGGCTTCAGGATGATCTATAAGTGACAGAGTTTTGAACCCAGCTGACTCTTTGTCCTGTAAACAGAGCTGTCTTAATTTTGCAGATAACCTAACCTCTTGTCCAGAGCCTCTAATTAATTATTCCCAGAAAAGTCCTGTCTCTAGTTCCATAACTCTGGGCTAAGGAGTGTTTGGATAGCAGTCCCCCTGCTCTGATGTTGTCAAGAGTTTGCCAGCTGCCTGCCCTGTTTGCCTGGGGCTGCCTACAGAGTCAGCAAAGATAATGGCCAGTAGCAGCTGAATTAGTGAGGAAACCTTTACTTCCCAGAATATGTCCTCATAAAGAAAGATCTAAAGCTATACTGTCCAGTATAGTGGCCACTAGCCTCCTGTGGCTTCTCAAACAACTAAAATTAAAGATCCATTTCCTCATTTTTTCCTTAGCCACATTTCAGGTGCTCGTTGGCCACATGTGGCTAGTGGCTGCCATACTGGATAGAGCAAACATTAAGATTTTTTTTACCATCACAGTTTTAACAGAGCTAACTCTAAAACACATGCTTCTGCTGAACTCCAAGTAGGTCTTGAGATTTTTTTTTTTTTAAGGGATTTGTTGTTAGGATTTTTACCCTGCTGTGAAACCCATCAATGGGGGGGAAAAGAAAAAAGAATTGAATGCCAGTATGTTAGTTCTGATTTATGGCTATTTACTGATCATCTGTTATCTGTTTGGGGGAGGGCGCTGGGATTGCAGATGATATAAATAATGATTTCTGACTCTTGAGAAGCTATATTCCTGGTTAAGAGGGTTGGGAGACAAATAGAAGCAGAACCAGTCTACAGTGCAAAGTCCTGTTATTGGAGAGTGAGGAGTATGTGAAGGACCATACAAGCAGATTAAGGATTGAGGGCCTCTGCGTGACTTCCTAGAGGAGCACACATTGGAGATGCACCTGGAAATGAGAGGTCTCTGGGTACATTGTACAGAACAGAAGGAAGGTAGGAGAGCAACACAAAAGTCTTACAAGTTAGTGCTAGGTGAATGCTATACGCAGAGATCCCAAAGCAAGCCTATAAGCTAAAGTAGAAAGATGTGGGAGAACTGGAAACATGATTGGAGAGAAGGGTGCAGTCAAGATGGTTTAGAAAGAGTCTCAAATGCCAATCAAAAGAATTTGGTTTTGTTGTTTTTTAAATGTATTTGGTACACAGTCTCACTACGCAGCTTGGACTCATAGTGATGCTCTTGTTTTCAGCCTCCCCAGCGCTGGGATCATGGATGTGATCTCTTTAGAGACCACTGGTCTCTAAAGAATTTGGACATTATTAATTGTGTAAATAGTATTATCTTTATGTTGTAGGATGTTTCAAGTGGAAGAATTACATTATTAGAAAGATTTCTGTAGCTATAAAGTTCAGGGTAGATTGACACAGACAAGCCTAGAGCACCATAGCCAAGTCGGAGGCTCTTCCCAGCCACCTGAAAGAAAACAAGGCCTGGACCAGGCAGCAGTGATGTGGGAGTTGAGAGGGCAGCACAAACCTAAGTATTGGCAAGGCCGTTGTTGGCCGTCCATGAGTGAGTGGGAAAAGTTGGGGTGACTGCTAGGTGTTGCAGCTAGCTGGGCAGATGGGCACAGATCCCACAGCCGAGAGAGAGGAGACTGGGAAAAGCATGGTGGGAGACAAGCTGCTCTGAATTTGACTTGGGTGTCTGCAGAGGCTAAAGCGTGAGTGAAATTGGGAAAGCATGGCATGGGAGACACAGGGCCTCTGGAGGGAGGTTAATCACTGAAAGTCTCCCCCACTGCTAGAAACCCAGGGTGTGCAGCCTGTAATTAGCCATAGCTCTTTCCTGTTCCACTTGCGCCTGCCTTATTGCCACTCCCCCAGGCAGACTTTACTTGTGCACAGCTCCTGAGTGTGAGTGCCTACTGTCAGGAAAAGCCTTTTCCCAGATGATGCATGGCTACCTCCTTTTCTCTCCTCAAATATTCAATTCAATTTATGGTGCCCATATTCCTTAATCGGACTGTTATCACACAGTGAGCTGGACCAGTTTGATTTAAAGCAGATTGTAGCACCAGCCCGTGACTGCTCCTGGCCCTAATCAACACTCCTTCACTCCCGGCAAGAGATACCTTGAGCTGGATGGACTTTAATGGGCACTTCCGCGCTCAGGAGCCCCAGCTCCGTTTTGGCCAAGTCTCTAGAAAGTTGTCTCCCAACTTCCCAGCCTGGACCCTAAACGATTGTACCCTAACCCTGCAAATACAGACATCATCTTTTGCAGCAGTAATGGGAGAAATGATGATGGCATTGATTCTATTAATAATAACTAATACTTATGGAAGCTTTTTGCACCAAATTGCATTGTAAGTACTTGACATGGGTTATTTGTTGAATTCTCACTGACATCCTGAGATTGGTACTGATACTATTCCTGCTGTAGAAATGAAGATCTTCAAAGCTAGAAAGATGTGGGATTCACACCATTAACCAGGTCTGTTGTATTCCAAAGTGCAGGCTCTTTACTGTTGCCCTCCACTAAACTAACTCTCCCAGATCCTGCTCACAAGGTTTGACTTTGTGGAGTTGGTCCTGGAGCTATAGCCTGACTTTGTATGGGAGCCTGTCCGGGTCCCAAATGGCAATTCCTTTCAGGCTGTAGCTGGCTGCTGCTGGAGAAGATGCATTCTGATGAATGGAAAAGAATCAACTGGGCCTCTTCACCCCTTTGTGGGATATAACTTACATAGTGTCAGCTTCAATTGCTGACTGAATGGTCCAGTGGTCTGGGGGATCTTGGCAGGAATGTTTTCCTTGCCCTAGCATGCTTATGTGATAGGAACCTAGAAGAAGAATGGGTGTGTTTGTCCAGCTTTATAGCTTTGAATGCTGATAACTTGCAGACAGGGAATACAGTGGCATCAGAACTGTGGAGTGGCAGATGTGGAGGAGGCACGGCTGCAGGAGAAACAGGCCCATGGAACAGAGAATAACTTTGTTTATCAAGGGGTGGGATGTGGGTGTGGAGGAAAGCTCTGCAGTCAAGCTGTGGAGACTGAGTGGGGGCTGGTAGGCTGGCTGCCAGCCCCTACCAATGCCAGGGGTCCAGGATAGTTGCCCATTGAAGGCAACTTGGAAAAGACAGATTTTCTGTCCCCAAAAGAAAGGGCAGATCTGGCACACATGTATAGGCCAGCCACTTGAGAGCTCTTTTGTGTCTTCCAGGTCAAGACACATCCAGGAACAGGTTTGGCACTGCTGGTAGGGATCTGGCTGACAGCCATGCACCTGCAGGCTCTGCAGTGCCAGTGTGAGCACTTGGGGCAAGAGGTTGCTGATTGAGGGATAGCATTATCTTTGCTTATTATGGACCCAGCAATCAGACAGATGCTGACACTACCTGCCTCGTTGCCCTACCTCATCTCAGACCCATTCCACCCTTCCACGTAGATGCTGCAGGGAAGTGGGGCTAAAGCCCTGTTTTTCTTCTCAAGAGTATAAGCAGCCAGCAAAGTACAATGTTAGAGTGATTTGTACTCTCCTCATGCAGCCCTCTGCAAATCTAAACATCATGGATGCATGCAACACTCATGCACAGAGCTCCTGAGATTGCCCATTGTGGTGACATACAGAAGCCTATCCCAATGCACAGTTCAGGATCAGGCATGGATAGTGTAGCTCTGGGCAAAACTCTGTGGGTTGAGATTAGCAAGTCTAGGTTCGAAAGCCCAGTTTTCCCATTAAGCACGTACCCTCTTGGTTTGGTGATATCCTCATCTCTGGTGTAAAGCACACCTAGAACACCAGGCCTGGGGGAGGCCTAGCCTGGGGCTCCTCTGTCTAAGACTTTTGTCTGTTTATCTCTTGGGCTCTCTGGCACTTACATACTGTGTTTGCCTTTGGAGAAGCAACCTCTGTATCTGTACCCTCATCCATAACATAAAGATTTTATTACTTATGTTATAGTTATCAGAAAGGGGGCTGGCCAAATAGCTCAGCAGATTAAAGCGCTTGCTTAGGCAGACTCAGAGGCCAGGAGTTTGATCCCCGGGCCTGCCATGCCAACCCTTCCTGCCCCTGGGGCGCATTGAGGCAGCGATTGAGATTGGGCATGGTGGTGTGCGCCTGTAATTCCAGCACTTGGGAGACTATAAACAGGAGGATCACAATGAGTCCGATCTATGCAGTGAGACCCTGTAGACCCTGTCCTAAAATACAAAAAAATTTTTAAAAAAATATATAGGTATCAGGAAGGTAAATTGTACGAATGCATGTAAAGGTTGTAAGTACATAATAGGGGCAAAATAAATAACATCTCTGAGCTTTTGTTTCCATGGTAAACAAAACAAGAACATGATTAATATACTTTTTTATTTATTGAAAGTTCATCCCCAGCCTGGACTACTTAGCAAGACGCTGTCTCAAAATTTTAGAAGAGAGTATCTTAATATTGTCCTGTTGAGCCATGGAGATAGCTCAGTGTTCTTAGGGCCTGCCAGGCAAGCACAAGGACCCAGGTTTGATCCCTGCTACTGCATGCCTTGCAAACTGGGGCATGGTGGCATATACCTGTAATCCCAGTGCTGAGGAGGCTGAAACAGGAGAATCACTAAGAGTCCGAGCTGTATAGTGAGACCCTGTACCAAAGACATAAAATTTAGGAAAAAAATATTGTCATATTTCTCTATATTTACACCCCTTTGCCCCTTTAGCTCTTGTTAGCCCAAGCAGAAACACATTTTGTAAGGATCAAATGATATTCACGGGTCTCACAGCTGTGTAAGATGGAGCAAAAATTGAGCCCAGATCTAACTGCCTGACCTCAAGACGAACAGCCTGCAAGAGCTATGCTGGCCCTAAGCAAACCGTAGATCTGCTTGTGATTCTGTTTCCTCAAGGTCAGCCTCTTTCCTGTTGTAGACACCCTAAGAAGTGAGCTGTACGAGTCCTCTGTCTGCCCTTTCTGAGCTCACAGATACCAGAGCCCACAGTGAAAAGAGTTTCTGTTTCTCAGATTTAGTGATGAAGGGATGGAGGTAATCGAGCGGCTCATCTACCTGTATCACAAGTTCCACCAGCTGAAGGTCAGCAATGAGGAGTATGCGTGTATGAAAGCCATTAACTTCCTAAATCAAGGTGAGTTGTCTGGGGTGGGTCTGTGGAAAGGGATATTTTTTCTTACTAATGAGCATTTCCCCTCCTGTTTCATAACCATGCATGCATGGGCATGTGTTCTCTCTCTCTCTCTCTCTCTCTCTCTCTCTCTCTCTCTCTCTCTCT